ATAGAGTCAAATAATCAACACATCTATAAAATTTAGACAAATTTTGCTTTCTTGGTTTATTTAATAATAAAGAAGCTATTATTTTAATTTCTGGGTAGCATTTTGCAAATTCTTTTGCATTTGAAAAACCTTATAAAATTTGAAAGGTTTTATAAAAACTTCTTTAGTGCTTTAGAAAAGTTTTCTTGAACGATTTTACTATATAATTATCTAAACCTCTAACTTAATCTAAACGCTACTTATAACATTAATGAGTTTTAAAAATTTTGCCTGCGCCACAAACCTGGCACAGATTTTTTTCATGCGTATTATAGTCAGGTATTTTACGCGATATAGAAATGATCTTCAATATACTAAAAGATTATTCTAAAACCGATTTCTATTTAAAAAAAGCATTTTTTATTATCTAAAAATAACAATCAGTTTTAAAAAACCCTTAAAAGTTTCTTGTAAAAGTTATTCTATGAATATGTAGTCCCAAATAATAACACAGTCAATGATTGGTACAAATTTCGTACCATAGAATTTTCCAATTGAAGGTCTTCTCTTAAAAAGAGAAGTGATCTGCGTTACATGAATTTGAAAAATTCCTGACTGTATTACACGAGGTTTTTGACGGAGTACGAAAAACTAGTAATTTTCATACTCCGTCAAAAACCTTGGTAATACCTCGTTAATAGTGCTAGTAAGAAACTAACTTTGCGATTTACTATAAAAATCTCCTACTAACGACCTATATTATTAATAGATCTAGAATATTTTGACGCTATCGTAAAAATGTAAGTTTCTCCGCCAAGTAAGCTCACGCAATTCTCTTTTCTACTTGAAACAGATCATTTTGGGGGTTGTAAAACCTTAATTATATCACTTCAAGAGCTTTTCACTGCTTTTTTTCGATTATTGGTTCAAGTTTACCGGATATTGCTTTATTTTCGAAAGACATTTTCCCGAAAGAACATATTCTTCACTAAATTAGTAAGCTTACCCCGAAAGAACATAATCCAGTAAGTCAGTAAATTTTATGATTTTTTAAAGGTGATGGTTTTTGGAAATTTGAGTTGCAAAAAAATTAATTACCGAAGAATTGCGTTCAAATCTGATAATTCTTTTGTAACTGTCGTCTCGATAGGACATATCTATTCAAAATGCCCCCTAAAACTATAGTTATAATCTGATATGCCATAATTTTATTTGAAATTAACTGAACTAATTTTATAATAAAATTTTCTCGGCAATGTTATTCTATTTTGTTGAACATATACTGATTTTGTACAATGTTTATACAGTGTTACTATCGTCACATGATTTTTTTGATTTTGCGCCACTATGATCCACAAGTTACGTTCAACCGTATGACCGATATCCACTTGTACATCTATCCTATATTTGTATCCCGATACATAGTTTTCGTATTGCCATATATAGTGGTCGGGCGAGTTTTAGGGTTACCTTTTTGATGTTGTTAGGGCTAATGGGTATATAGATATCAATAATGTAATTTATGCATTATGTAGATCATATATTGAATTAACTCCGCTTTAGCCCCCATATATAGTTATCCCCCCCTATTTCCTTATTCATACAATATTGGGATCAACCATCGACGCGTAAGGCATAATTGTTGATATCTAATACAGTACATGCAGGTTGGCAATGGAGCCAATGGAGCTCAATGGTTATGCGAATGGAGCTTAAAAAACTAGCATCCATTGGCTCCATTCATAGCTTCATTGGTTCCATCAGCAGCACCATTGGGCTCCATTGAACTCCATTGTCAACCCTGAGTACACGAATGATGCTACGATCTAGCATTACTGCCCTTTTTCTAACTTTACTGCGGTTCCCAAAGAAGAAGTTATTAGTTGAATCCCTTGAAATCACGATGGAGTAACTGGTCATCAAACGGTTAACTAACGTTTGATCATAATGCATTGATTTATTATCACGATCTACTAACCTGACAAAGCTCTTACCGTTGATTGAATATTTCGGAGGGAGTCTTGAATTGGATAAAGGAGCAAGGAGTAAGTTTTATTGGTGTTGATAGGAAATAAGGATTAGTAATAGAATGGCATTGTATTAGTATCGGGGATTCTAGTTGACATGTAATTATAAAAGCTCTTCGAATTCGCCTTGCTTGTACGGGGAGGTTCTACTACAGACTGTACTTAGAAGTTCTACTACAGACTGTACTTAGAAGTTCTACTACAGACTGTACTTAGAGGTTCTACTACAGACTGTGCTTAGAGGTTCTATCTGAAGTTCTCCTTTATAAATAAAGACCTTCAAGCGTCCTTATGTTAAATCGTATCTTATGATTATATTATTTACTATCATATTATTATACATTATCTTATTCTCGCATGCTTCTTTACTTATCTCGTGACGTCTGTTTCAATTTATACATATACTCGTTATTTATTATTTACTCACCGAGTGCATACATCTGCATACACTTATCCTACGTTCGTTAACTATCCTGGGTTATCTTGGCGCCCTGGTTATCTGTTGTTCTCCCGACTTGATAGTTACGGTATTAAAATTGTAAAATATCGTATTTGCATTCGGAAAATTGACTCCGTTTCGAACATTTTTTTGGGCAATGCTTACAATAACTGTACAAACATTTTTTATGGAGCAATAACTGTTATCCTGGCGGGTTATCAGATCATATGACTTTTTATTGATTTTTTTAAGTAAGAACAACATCCTAACATCTCCAGTGTAAACATTGTGTAAACATTGTGAAAAGTGGTGCGAAAAACCAAAGTTGGTTAACAGAAAAAAAAACAAAAAAAAAAAGGAAAACAGAAATTGCTTTGATATAATTAATCTAGAACACGTTTGTTGTCCAATTTTTAATTTAAAAGATTATTTAACACAAGTTACACACAAATTACACACAAATTACACTAAGAAATGAACAAATGTATTCAATACATAATTATCGCCTGTGTTTAATGATTTAGTATAAAATAAATTATTGTAAATGAATAAAGGAATGCATGACAGTCAACGATCACTTGCTATATGTAAACTTTATTGTGCCATTTTTCTTGGCATTACTCATGGAAGTATCTAATGCTGCGTATAATGGTATTTCTATTAACAATAATGATCGTCAACAGACATAAATATCAATACAAGTGACTCGTTAATATCAACCTATTTGAATTGGGTTTAAATTATGTTGATAGTGACATTAGTGAGAAATAATAGCAAAGTTGATATATATGAGGGAATTTTGATATTCAAAAATTTATAAAAATTTGTCTTGAGGCTTAGGTTGATATTAACGAGGGCTACCGGTCACCTGTACGTACGTATGTACGTACGTACGTACGTACATATTTCTGTAAATTAGCATGATTGTTCTACAAAATATATTGAATCGTACAGTTCATTTTTGGTTACATTACTGAAATGTACAAATTCGCGATTCTGTACGTAGTTAATTATAACAATTTACTAGGTATATTGTTATTATAATTTTACAATATGCTAGCAATACTAATACTGTTAAAATTGTCATGGTTTAAAGTAACTATATAATTACATTAACATTACTATAATATTACTATGTTAGCAATATTGTCACTAAAATTTTCAGGTTTCAGCTTAGTAAAACTGTTTAATATGTAAAAAATAAACCCGGTTTCAAACTCTGGTTGACCATGAAAATCATATAAGTTGATGTAAATAACCTTGCCAAAAAAGTATGGTGTGCACATGGAATAATCGAATGTTTTTATTATTCACATCATTTATAGAAAAATTCAACAATAGGTTTGAGAAATTCAAAGTAAATTGATTTTTTTTTTTTTAATAAATAAATCTGTTCAAATTCTATATACGTATGTACTTACTGTACGTACAATGAAATTTTCACGATAATGTGTTTTCAAAAAAATAAAAGATCATGTAGCGCCATCATTTTTGCTATGTAACGTACGTACTGTACGTATGTACGTAGACTGTAATATCTGATATGCATATGATGCCTTTAAGGAGATAAATACAGTAAATGATCATTATTTTTGCTATGTACATAGGCTGCAATATCTGATATGCATATGATGCCTTTAAGGAGCTAAATGGAACTTTAAATACTGTAATAGAACTTAGATAACATCATAGCATTATTTATTACTGCATTATAGTACATGCCTATGCATGTACGTACCTAATACAATGTAATAGTATTGGACTCACTGGTAAGACATTATGAATTCACAAATATGCATCAACTTATTTAATCTTGTATTCCGTATAAAACGCTATCAAGATTACTACGTACGATAAATAAACTATATTTTTAATAAAATAAAATAAATGGTTTAACATAACATATTGCCAAAAATTAAAAAGAAAAAAAAGAAAAAAAAAAAAAGAGAAAAAAAGAAAAGAAAAAATAAAAGAAAAAAAAAGAAGAAAAAAAAAACTGTAACTGAAACAAATATGTTTGTTACACTAGCAGGTCATCAAGGAAATCCGTCAATTCATGAAATTTATTGGTATATTTTATGTACATCATCCTAAAAACAAATACGTAAATTAGCTTCCTAACTAAATAAGGGCTAACTTAATATACACAATGATAAAAAAGGCATAATAATAAAGAAAGTTTAATTGTATGTCCAAATTGTTTGAAAATAATGAATGGAAGAAACAAATGCATCAATTATTCCATTCGTTTCTAATTGGTCGCAGCTTTTAGAAGTTGTGCAATCAATTTCACAATGTTTCAAAATTCAGTAAATTCCTCCATGACTTTCGAACGCAAAAAGAAACAAATTGAGTAACATTACTTTAACGGAGTTTAACGCGACTTTATCACACAAATTTAATTGTCCATCATGAATTAAACAAAAACCTTTATATTGCTTAATTTCTCTTACTTTAACCATATTTCTCTTAAACTCTCATCAATAAATTAAATAATTTCTCTCATTTTTAAACTACTTATTACACTTAAACTTTTATCACATTCATCTTTTGCCATGAAAAAAGTTTTAATTCCTCTCTTTGTACACGGAACTGACTCTTGTTGTGATTGTCAGCCTGGTCATTCGTTCAGAGCGGACTGGTGTCTTGACCTTCACGGTTTTTTATCTCGTGAAGAGTTTGCCGAAAGACTTGAACAGATTAATAATCAAATCCAAGACATTGAACTAATGACCCAAAGAACAAAAAAACTACTATATTATATCGCTATCATTGGTGCTGCTTTATTATCACTTATCTTCTCTTTCATAATGCACTTTTTTATTGGTATACCTGTAGGCACTGGTTTATCCGGAGTTTTTACCACATTCGGCAAATATTTGATCGAAAAAAATGCTGCGGAACGCGCAATAGCATTTACTAATCGGTTAAACGACCTTTTTGCACAATATAACAAACATGAAAATCCAACTGTCAATTGGAAATTCTGGTGGGTTCATTCCTACGAAAGATACGTTACTGATTTGGATGGAAGAGCTTATGGAAATGGTCATTTAAACAAGTTAAGGATGAAGTTTGGTCTTAGGGTTAAATTCGCGGCCTTATTTGCTGAAAATGCTTTAATTATTCTTGAAATAAATGATGCCCTCTCTGATCTTACCAAAAACACTGTTGGTGTGAATCTTAAAAACTTCAATAATAATGTCAATTATAGTGATAATACTAATGGCAAATATAGTGATAACTCTAATTACATTCATAATGCCAACTATTCTAATGAGATGGCAATTATTAATAATAATGCCAGCTATTCTAATGAGATGGCAATTATTAATAATAATATCCCTAATAATTCAAATTCGCAAGTTATTGATATGAAGTATAATTAGTGTAAAATAATTGTATCCTGTTCATTGATTTTATAAATTTTATCATTTTTCTAATAATTATTAACTATGTAATTTTAGTTATCAATTTACTTCTTATATTATACTCATGGTTTATTATTTTTAGTATTAAAATTTTTTACAAAGTAATGTGCTATGCACATTGTTATACTGTATTTCATATTACTATAGTCAAAAAATTCGCCATTAATTGAGATTACCTTAGTCATTGCTGGAAATTGCCTAACAAAATCTTATATATTATATAAATAATTATCATGATGTTATAAATAAATATAATAAAATACAGTAAATAAATTATCAATATTTGTCTCGCGCTATATTTTCTGACTTACGAAAATTGATTACAAACGGAAAAACTAATAAAAGTAATATAAGGAAAATAGTTATTATAGAAATGTCATCCTCATTTCGGCATAATTAAAGTTCGTGTATTTCCATTCATTCTCATTTCACTCTCATTTTACAAGTTTAATTTTGATAACACTAATCTATTCATTTTAATTTAAATTTCAAATCCAATTTTATTGGCTTATATATTTCAATTTAATATACCGAATTATATTCATTTATTTTTCTATTAACTATGAGATTATAAATGTTTCTAAGTATATACTATAAATCGCACTTAAAAAAATATATTCAATTAATTTACTACACTACAAAATGGGGTACTATATAAATCAAGTCTATTATGTAGTCATACTAGTGAGAACCCGTGCCGTTGAGCACGGGGAAAAGGGTGGTTTTCATTTCTTCGACATATATTTCATCTAAAAGCCTTTTAATCGACATCACATAAGATTTATTGATAACAGATAATGAAAAGCAGAGAAGTATAAAAAAAGATCTTTAATTTTTCATAGCTTTGGATCATATTCGATACCAAAATTTTGACATCTTTGACATGAAAAGCTTGTACAAAATACATGAATATTTTAATAGCTTTTTAATTCGGCACGAAATATACAATAAACTGTTTTTATGATTTTAATTACACCAGAAACGGAACATAACGAAGTGTATGGTTTATTGGCAAGTTAAGTGACGTGAACAATTCCTGGCA